CTCCTCCTCCTCCTACCCCTCCCGCTGCTCCTCCTTCTCGGTGTCGTCCTTCCCATCCGCCTCCTCCTCCTCCTCCTCCTCCTCCTCCTCATCCTCCTCCTCGGGCGTAGCCAAGAGGGTGCCTGGTCTCGAGGTTCAGCCACAGTCGCCGCCGCTCGTTGGCCGCGCGACCTGAAATCGGACGGCCCTGACCACACCTGCACTTTGGTTGGGTGAAATGATGGGATTGGCAGGAGAGGCCAAAGGGTGCAGAGCGTTGAAGAGATAGAAGGCGGAGACAGGGACGGTGCAAGAAGCGCGAGAGGGGGAAAGGACGCCGAGGCGGGCGAGAGGACAATCGGCGAGAGGATGTCCCACAACTTCAGTGAGGATCCTCAAGAAATACGGGCATCGCCAGTAGTGCCAAAATCTGTCAGAGCATTCAGGACATCCGAGCATGCACGGAGAAGATTTCTGAAATCGACTGTCCGCGATCCAGGCAGCGGCGAGAGTTTTCAGCACGGCAGCGCGCCAGGAGGGAGGGAGGGAGAGAATGACAGAGCGACATTTATCCCAATCGATGGTCTCGATTTCTTGAATACGTTCGGGGCAACCTCTGCGCAGACGGGTCTTGAACATCGTGGTCAAGTTATCGGGGAAGAGGGCGTGCAGGAGGGACAGGTAGAGAATACGCTGGGGATGAAGAGCTTTCAGAGGAAGGAGAGGGTGGGCGGCGACATGCTCTCGCAGCGCACGGAGAGCCGTCCTACCAGGGATCCTGCAAGTCGGGGAATCCTGAAAACCTAGATCGGCTTGTTGAAGATTCTGAGCGAGCGGGCGGGACCTCCAAAATCTCGGGCACCAACGGCGCCCTCCTTCAAGATCAGGATAACCAGAGACGATAGTGACGAGCGGAAGCTCGGCCCACGCAGTTTCTTCCAAAATCCCCATACATTCACGCCAGCACGGGAGGGTGTATCTGCACGAGCGCATCAGAGAAGCCAGGCAAAGGGCGAGAATGGAGGTCGTTTGGGGCCCACCCCAGTCCTTGAGGCGGTGCCAGTCGGCGTTCGCCCAGCACCGAAAAGGCGTCTTAAATAGACGGGCCAGCTGCTGGTACTCTGACTTACGGAGATGAGGGGGAATGATCATGAACTGGGCGACGTAAGATAAAACCGTGACAGCTCGACGACGATATAACAGGGCAGTGACCTCGGTCGCAGAGCCACCAGCAGCTATCATGGCGCAGCGAGACTGGTACTTACTGAGCGGTGCGTGCCACGAGTCCCATTCGACATCAGGTCCAAGAAACATCCCAAGGTACTTGAGTTTGCCCGAGATTCCCATGGAGGTCCATTCCCGAAGGTGAGAGTTAAGCCAGAGGCGATACTTGCGGGTGACCACGGGGGAAGCCGAACCGATAAGCGGGACAATGTGGCACTTCGGGATCTTGAGCTTCAGATGCGCCAGCCTCTGAGCCTTCCGAAAAACTGCCGAGATCTCGCTCAAGGCGGAGATGCACTTCAGCGCCATGCCGATGTCGTCGGCACACGCTCTCGTATGGCCACGGCCCGTGCCGTCCACCACGGAGCGGAAGTCTTGGAGGAAGGGATCGAGGGCGAGGCTGAAGAGAAGTCCAGAGGCCGGGCAGCCCTGCACTATACCAGCGGTAATGTGGTACATAAAGCTAGTGACCCCACCGATGTTTCCCCAACACGTGACGTTATCGTAGATAATCTGGTAGAACCACCGAAGAGGAGGGGGGAGAGCGAGGGCGTCGAGCACCAGCATCAGCCATCTCTGACACAAGCTCGGGAAGGCCTGGCCGAAGTCAAAACCTATAAGCAGCGGAAGCGACGCCTTGGGACCCATAGAGTAGACCCTCGCGTGAGTGTCTAGCTCCACGATGTTCGAACAGAAGTTTCGGCCCGAGACAAAGCCACGTTGGTTCGAGTCGAGTCCAGCGGGGACGCGACGAGAGAGCTCCCAACAACAAACCCCCGTCAAAATCTTGCAGTCAGTGTTTTTGAGGCCGAGAGGCCGAGTATCCCCAACGTCCCGAAAAATGCCGTCTTGATCGCCAGCTTCCGTGCCTTTGGGAATGTAAACTCCCAGCAGCTCGTTAAAGTTGAAGGAGAGCGAGAAGCCGCTCAGGATCCACTGAAGTCCTTCAAACAGCATGGAGGAGCCTAGCGGAGCGTGCTGCCACGCAGCATACCTGAGACGGTCGGGCCCGGGGCCAGAGTCGGATTGCCTCCGAAGGTAGCTTTCCAGGAAGGCCAAGGTGGGGGGGGGGAGATCGCGGCGCGAAACTTTGGGGGCGAACTCCTGAAGGTACGCCTTCGCGGGCTCTTCTTCGAAAGGTTTGCCAGAGAAGACAGGGGCCCAGTGAGCAGACAGCGCTTCAAGGACGCGGGAGGGTCCCTGCAAAATTTGGCCCTGGACCCGAACCCCGGCCAGAGAAACACGTTTGTCAAACGGGGGC